TACTATCAGGTAACAGGATAAAATAACCACACTGAATTTGGAGTTCAATTTGATTGATAATATGCACACAGTCCAAATTGATCTGGTACTCTGATACTGTAGCTACATAGCTGATATGAGCCCTGGGCTACTAGAGAGCAACGGCAGCCTCTGGCCTTCCCCATTGACATCACCAACTACAGAGTTGTTTGGGACAGATTTGGCTAAAAATGAAGTTTTTACTTGGCTGCCCATCTATCTGCATATTGTAATGATGGTCCACAGCAGGCCATTTGCACTGCTGAACAGACATCTGTTTTTAAAATAACTGAGCTGGATGTTTACCATCCAGTCTATTGCAAGCTGTTCTAGTGACTGCTTTTACCTCTGATTTGTGTAACTACTGTATATAATTGATGCTTTTTTTAAAGTCCTCTATAGTTATTGTGCAAGCACCATATAAAATTATTTGTGATGTGTCATTATGACACATAGCTATCATGGAATTTAGTCAAATCAGCATTCAAAAAAACTTATAAAAACATCTCCTTCCTTTTTAAATGTCTAAGTGTAGCCTTAGGATGCTCCTTCCTTTGTTAAGAAACCTTAATGTTATGTGCTAATGAGACTTACTTGCTTTTGCAACATAAATAACCATTACAAGAAGACTATCCTAAAGTTGGCTGTACTGTCATTGCCTCTTATTCTGTATCTTTTTTACTTACTGATGGAGATTGCATTTTGAATATCAGAGTGATTGATTCATGACTCAACACAATGAAGAATAAAATGTTCTTGGCTTGAAGTAACTAACATGTATGATGTATCTCCTAAGGTTAATTGTGTAGAGCATTACACCAGGATAATGCCTAATAATTTACAGAATATCTTAAAAGAATATCTAATTAGGGTGGGATTCACACGTTGAAAAGAGTATAGTTACAAATGAATAAAAAACATGTCTATTCAGATACTCTACATTGCTTACTGTACTTGTTCTTGAATAAGGAGTATTTGCTTACTATTGAAATAGTGTGTAGGTAGCAAAGGATGGAGACAGCTTTGGCCCTTTCATTTAACAGGGACTTGTGTTTTGCCAATTAGGCCTAGCATAAAGGACACAGCCAGCATAAAGATGAACCAATAACCAGATTGTATTTGACGCAAAAGGGTCAGTACATGGGTGAGCGCTGGGGGGACAAACAAGTCAGTAAGGTCATACATAATCAACATCAATCCCACTGACCCCAACAATGACACCACATGACCAACAATGGGTGGAATAAATGTGAAATGCAGTCTCCCATAGAAGGGACAGGAGACAACTGAGTCAACAAACCAAACACATAAGACCAAGGGAGCCACATACTGAATCTCTACACAGCCCATGTTTACAAAGGCCAGACCTGACTGGGGCCCAGTCCCAGGGAGGCAGGAGGTCCTTCCCCAACAGGAAACTCTGCACAGGGCATCCACCTCACAGACAGACACTGCCCCTTCCTGCAAGTGGTCCCAGCTTTTATCCCTAAGTGGGACACCTGACCCTTGTTTACTCAATGCAGACACCTGGGGCTCATTTACCTCATGGCTCTCCCTGCAAGGCCGGCTACACCCTGGAGGGGAGCCTAAAGGCAAACTCACCCCCCCTTTGTGAAGGGCTGTGGGAATCACCCAGATGTCAAACTTAATTTGGGGTTTGGGGTTGAAACTCCAGCATTTCAGACATGTTAGACTGGATTTCCACTGGCAGCCTCAACTGAGGAACATATTTCCCATTCAGAAGCAGAATATTTGTAAAATACTTCGCCTTTCCTCAACTTCAGGTAAAACTTTTATTCACTCGTGGCCCTGTTATATCCTGGTTTTTCCTTCCTTCCCTCCCACTAAATGGGATTGGGACTGGAGCCATTGCTAACAGATGTGGTTCATGCCCTTCCAGATCTGACGTGGCTGTACCTTAATGGGTGTGGTACAGGTCTGCCACCTGAGCTTGTCTCACGCAGCCTACCTAGATCAGATTATTGTAGAAGGGGAGGGCAAATGAGCTGTTTCCTACCGTGTGCAAGAAAACACCACATATGGATTTAATGCTGCATGTCAGCTGGTTAAATCAGATGGGGTTTTGACTCCTTGTAGTACTTGTGACTTGGCTTGTGACTCTGACCATGAAAGTGTCTTTTCATGTATTCCTTCAAGACAGCACCTTAAGGACTTACAGCAGCAGATGGTGAACATTCAAAGGGAGCACACCCATGGCACTGCATTTAGGAACTCTCAAAGGCCATCCATTTTTACAGGAGAGAGGAAAACAGTGTGCATCATTAACACAGTGATACGCCATCTGCCCTTTGCCATAATATTGGAGATTCTAGGCTTTTTTAATGAAAACCGATTTTCATGATTACTAAGATGACTTGATAATGTTAAAAATAAAGAATGCTTCCTTAAATCCATGGATGGCTTCAGACGATGACTGGAAGACAGCAAGACTGTTAGTGTTTTCACTGCAAAACATTCTTTCACAAATGCCAAGCTAACATGCTTACTGTCTTAAAATAAGTCTTTCTCTGTATGCCTCTAAGAGATAAGTTGTCAACAGAGCCAGAGAAATTCACACAATGAACCCCTCAGCAAGTTTTCCTTATCACTGAGAAACTTTGCAATTATTTCCTTTCTCTCCTCTGCCTATCCACCACTCTAAATTCCCTACCAGTCACTTGTACTTTTTCCTTCCCTCTAGAATTTCAGCTTCACACCTTGAAAATAGATCAATAGCTCTCCCTTACCTCCTGTTTTGTTTGGGGATTTTTTTGTAGGGCCCCCTCACTGGCAGTATTAGAATACCTGAGATGTGTGGCCATAGAAAAAATGTGGTTTATAGTGGGAGGTCAGGAGCAGCTGAAGTTGACGCTGTCTTTGAGCAGACTGCCTGGATTACCATTTCCAAACACTGTGTTATTAGGAACAGTAATAAGCAGACCTGCTGCTGTCTGCCCGTGGAAAACCTGTTCTTCTAGTCATGCTGATGCAGTACCTCAGTAACAGCACGTTACTGTGCATGATGGGATATGACGGGCTGTTGCTCTTCCCATTGCAGAGCCCTGCTAGCTAGCCACAGACTCTAATGGAAATAATGCATAAATTAAGTGTCTGATCCTCGTATTGCATTTCAGAGTAATTCAGTGCTGTAGCTACACCAGTTCTCTGTGCATGTGGTGGGTTTGCCAGCACTTTTGCCAAAACATAAGGCATGTCACACAATTGATTTTTTTTTTTCCCCTTAATTTACAGAACTAAGAAGTGACAGAGTCTGAATAGTTTCTCAATTCACAAACCAGGAAATGTACTAACAGCCAGCCATCTATCTAATTTCTATTTTGTTAACCTCCCTAACTCTTAATCTTTTTTACAAACTAAAAGAAAACTTTGCACCTTTGATATATCCTGCAGATTGTGCTTTAGTGACAGTACAGCTAATATTACAGTTGATATTAAAGGAGTAAGTTACAAAATAATTAAAACTACATTCATTAAACAGTCTACAATCTTAATGCTACTGCATGAGTGGAGAGGACAAATGCTTTTTAATACTCTTAAGCTTCACATTATCAGGTTTATAGTTGCTAGCATATCCTTCTAAAAGTTCTTAGAGTGCTAATCTGGAATTTAGCAAGTCCAGAGTCTCCATTTCACTACTTATACTGAAGGAAGCACACGTGCATCTTTCAACATCCTTTTTTTAGAACTGTTGAACTTGGAACTGCATACTCCTAGCAGCTGGAGAACAAAAACCCAGTTAGTCATTATGCAGGAAGCCCAAGACTTTACTAGAGGTTACTCCACCCTGTTCTTAATACTCTAGTCTACACGAGAATTTGCAAGTCCTGTAGCAATGGATCTGTAGAGCAAAACAATGGGTGATGCAGATACATAGGCCTCACTGTATGGGCGGTGGGTACTGGATCTCATCTGTTTCTGTAGACCCGCTGCTTGTTAGTTAGAGCAAATCTTATACCTTTTCAAAGAAGAATCCAGCGCATGTACAACATGACTAAAGATATTTTAGATTAACTTTAAAATACCAAACTAGATTTAATATTTTTATCTAGAAGCTATTTGCTACAGGAGATGCAGGTCTGTTATCCCGGTAGGAAAGATATCAGATTTTGTAAAGCTTCATTTAAAATGCTATTTGTTAGAGCTAACACTATGAAGAAACAGAGAATATTACAGACAGTCTTATATCCCTGTAGATGCTGGGAATCCAAGTAGTACAGCACTGAATGGGCCTCCAATCCACACACAGCAGACTCTGTAGACCTTATCTGTAGACAGGGTTACCCCATTTTGATAATTTAAGATGTTGTAGGATTTGTCTTGCAAGACAAAAACTCTATTCATCATTCCTGCTGTCAAAGAGGGAGGATGTTCACTGCTGGATGCAGGCAAGGCCACGCAGGTGGTGTAATCACTGGTACCCTCTGGGATCCTTTGTTTCCCGTGACCTTGCTGAGTTTATCCTGTGACCAGGGAATTTGTGCAGCACAGTGCAGGCCTGAAAAGCCAGGCTGTATGTGCAGCACAGGCCTGGGCTTACTCAGGTTAACTGTTATATGGATCACTAATACTTCAATGTATGGTAGTCTTCTGGTCAGGATTATCACAATGCATCCAGAACTGGAACTGGTCAGAGTTTATCCTCTTTCTTCCCTGTCCCATAAACTGCCTGATGAACAAGGTCAGGATGATCACATTTTTTGTTTGAGGGGGTTTTTTTGCAATCAGAGAGCTAGAAATACTTGGAGTATCTTTTCTTTTTGAAGTCTGACATGTAGGGAAAAGCTTTGCTGTTCAAAGATCTTGGGTATATTGCCTGTATAATAGATAACTACTTAGTTCTCTTTAGAGCATGTAGAGAAATTATGAGAATTCACATGTAACAACAAATCTGAGTCATTAAAACTTCACCATTATATATGAGACCAATGCTGATCTGCTTACCTGTTTTGTTTTCCTTGCAGAATCAAGGCCATTGAGAGTCCCAACAAAGATGATGACACTCAGTGGCTGACTTACTGGGTTGTGTATGGTGTTTTCAGCATAGCAGAATTCTTCTCTGATATCTTTCTGTCCTGGTTCCCTTTCTACTATATGCTGAAGGTATGTTAGTTCATGTGACCCCTCTCCTTAATTGAGACCTTTAATATAACTGATTTAATGTCTTCAAGAGTGAATAGATGACAACGGATGCCTTTGGAATCATTCCTGGGTCACGCCTTATTTTTAGATGCTAGTTACATGTAATTTAGCACTATGAAAGTGATCTGTTTACAGTGGGTGGTTTTGTGAGGCAAGAGAAGTTAGGATGGGTGGCAGGGAGAGGTCTGTCATGTTTTAGGAAAAAAGAGATTGGTGTAGCTGTGTCAGAAAAAGTGGGATAAAAGAATTTACTGACACCAATTTGATGCAGATAAGCAGACACTCCTTTATTAATGGCTGAGTGCACAGGGGAGTCATCTCACCAACAATGCACACCTAACTCATGTAACATGCTGATTATATTGGATACAGTAATACATATTAATCAACTTCTCATACATAAACATGATAATTCCTGTAACTCGTTTTCATATTCCCACCTCTTTCCAGTCATGCGCACTTCAGTCCTGAAATGAGTTGGGGGGCTGCTTTTGTGACCACCACAGACTACTGACTCGAAAGAACCCCCAGTGTCCCTGACTCAAGGGCTTTGGCTCACATTGCGATTTTAACATGCTTCGAGGTCCCTTCACAATACACCTTTTAAAACACCTGGTCTACAGGGCTATAAATCATCCTCACCAAACAGTCTAACAATGGTACCTCGTCTAGCAGCATAACTGGTTGTATGGTTACTTTAAACTAAATACAACAGCTCTATAACTACTTAGAACTTTACACCACTATCTTTTACAAAAAATGATATTTCTGTGAGATTCCGTTTAATTGATTAGTCCTAATCATTCCTTATCAAAATCACCAAAAATCATCAACTCAAATTAATAACATATCAGTAGCAATCAGTAACAGCTGTACTATGGAAAGATAGTTCTTCGTCTTGATGTTCAGACAAATTGGAGCAAAATGTCAGTACGTGGTAAACTCTAATGAGTGGCTCTGGTTTTGCTTTAAGTGCGTTAATGGAAGTGGAGAGTAAAATCACAAAGGCAGCAAAAGGAAATACTCATATCTGCTATTGGGAGCAAAGAAGGAAGTTGCAACGTAAGACAGAGGAGCTTGTTGCTAAAATGCATGTTAGTGGGTTGGACTACAAACAATGATTTGCTTAATGTTCGAATCTTTGTCAACTAAGGTGTGAGTGTATTGTCAATCAACTTTAACGTGTTAAATTCTTCCATGATATAGCCAATCACCATGTATGCCCTTGAGTAGAAGACGTTCTTGCTTGCTGGAGAGTTATTTGTTTAGCTTAAAGAACTTTTACCTATTTTCTGTTTAAATATGCTGTTCTATTCCTTCTCTTTCACTTTGTTAGCCTGGTTTAGCCCCACCAAAGTTCTTGAAAGGATGTGCTTGGCAGCTGTTGTGGTGGGGTCATTTAAAATTTTAACTGTAAGGTTTGATGTTGCCAAATGCTTTTTTCAGGAAATGCCATATTGTAAAGACAAAAACTGGCTCGGACAGCTTCATTACACTTCTGCATTGTTCCTTTTGAATCTTTAACAGGCATTAACTGTGCAATCGTTTGGGCACTTATTTCCCTGGCTCTCTAAGAAAAAGCACGTATTGAAAATACTGCTTCAGACTAAAAATATTCTAGACTGTCTCACAAAGTTAATCCCCCCCCCCCTTTTTTTTTTTCCTTAATCAAAAATTAAAATATGTTTCCATTTTAAGCTTAATGGTTTTATAGAGTTTTAAAGATGAATCTGGTAATTTTGAAGTTCAGCATGGGTAACACATGTGTGAAAGTTTTACTGTTTTAATTTATTAAAACCAAGCCAAATAGTGATCAGCCCTTGGAAGAATCTGTTCTTAACCAATTACACGGTTATTTCACATCCCTAACTTTACATTATAGTTTAGCAAGATTATGACTTTACCCATTACCCATTGTCTGTGGTGGTGTATACTTACAGTTCTAAATTCATACAGTGTGTTTTCAGAGCTTCTTTTCTAACTTCTTGGTCATAGAAGATGTGACAGCAATTTCTTCATGCCAGCACAGCACTCTTTCTAAAGAGCATGCAGTTGAAAATCAGGTTGTCCTAACAAATAAAGACCAAGCACAGGTGGCTCTGATAATACTGGATCAGAAGTACCACATATACATGTAGTGGTAGCATCAACAGAAAGATACTTTTCTCAGTTCAGCAAACACAGGGAAGCAGTTATGGTAAATGCACAGTGTTCCACAGTAGCTACTGAAGGCACACGGAAGTCAAATATTTACTCTCTGTAGTGGGAGGTAAGAGAGGTTTATTTTTGTGATACAAAGGCAGACAGAAGCATTGCTGACTGGGTGGAAGTGTGGAAGTTACTTCATGTGGGCAAAAGGAGGAAGCAGACAGCTTCCAACTTTCAGTCTATCCATGACTAAAAGCTCTTGGAGGGTAGTTTGTGATGTCTCTTCTATGATGTTATGAAATAGAAGTCCAGATACGTCATCATTCAAATTCCAAGCTCACTTTCATTTTCCAAATATACTAAATTTGCATATTCACATTTATTTGATACAGCTTGTAGCTTCCACTCCAGACTGGGTTTTCACTGCTCAATATTTCTGTATACCTCAATATGCAGGGCTGAAACACTGATCATAGCTGCTTCCATATTCCCCTAAGTCCAGAGCCTCTGGGACCTCAAAGCTTTTGGCACACTAGGAGTTTTTATAGATGAGAGAAAAGCATGTTCAAGGACTTCTTAGAATATATTATGATATTTGCATATACTTTTGTTCTCCACTTGACAAGTGTTCTGAGACTTCTTGGGTTTTGTGGTTTTTCTGTAATGCCTACTTTTTATTTATCTGCTTTTTTTCTCTGAAGCACAGGACATGCATGCAGCTCGTGGTTTCATGTGTATGTGTATCAGTTTTTCAATACTTCTGTTAATGTTTAGATTTCTTTGGCATTCAGGTATTAAAATACTGTAGCCAGGGAAAGTACCAGAAAGAAGCATTCTTGGTAGTGGGAAGGAGAGGAGATTCCTGACTCTACTAACAGTTCTCTCATGAAATACTAGAATACTATTTCTGAAGAGAATTCCTAGCAGGCACGTCACAATGGGTGCATTATGCATGCTACTGCTATGAGGCACTCAGTCCAGTGAAGAAGGAGGAGCTGTCATTATGAGTGTAGCAATGTGCCAAATGTGGCAGTCTGATTCTGCTTAAAGACAGAGATCCTCTCCTCTTGCTCATGCACCCCATGCAATTAATTATTGGTTTTGACTAAAGAGCTACTTGAGTTCCATTAAATGGAACACCTTGTTTTAATGACTGCAGTTGTCTGTTAGGAAGCTGTTCATATTTGTGGTTATATGAGGTGTATCTTGGGTTTTGATAGTATTCTGTCTGTAGAAGCTTGGAACTTGCCGTGAGCATGCTTGCTGTCACTTCCTCTGCTGTAGTGACAAACCCAGCTGTGCTGGGTTTTGTGGTCCAAGTGGGTTAGACCCAGCTCAGATGTCTGCCCGAGGCAGTCACTGTATTACATGAATTCAATTCCCTCCTCTGGCTAGTCTGGAGGGTCACAAAGAATATAGTTTCGGGTTTAGTTTTTTTTTTTTTTTTCCAGTTAACAATTTTATCACTCTGAGCTTTCTGGACCTTTTTACAAACCACTTTATTTTTAATGGTCTATGTTAGTTCAGTTTCACGAAAGACAAAAGGGAAAAAAACATTATTGTTATTACAAACAAGTATTTGGATGTGGCTCTGTCTTTCTGTGGGAAATCAAAAGTATAAGGGGAAGTAGAGGAGACAAATGTCTGGCTAGGCACAGTGGAATTCTGAAGGGATGCTGTAATCGAACTAGATTCTAGGAAATGCTTTTGCAGTATGCACTGTACTGGAAACCTCATAAATAAGTAAGACATTATATTTTTAAAATTACTTTCAGAAGCTCTAGCACATGCACTGAAGCATCTTTTTGGCTGCTATAGATACTGCTGTGAAAACTGGAAAACTTCTGAAATCTAAGCTATTTAAATAACTGCTACTGTATTTAAATGCAGACTTTTAAGTTCCTCATGGTTTTATTGTAGTTTAAATGACTAGTTTGACTTTTTTGTGCCTAACTTAGGTGATTGTGTGGTGGGTTTTCTTTCAGGAGGAAGAGTTGTGGTTTTGTTGATAGTGTGTTTTCTTCTCTCTCCCTCTCCTTTCAAAAATGTGTGGACACCCTGAAACATTTAATCATGTCTAACATCAAAACAAAGCACATTTTGGCTGAGGTGGGTTTGGTTTGTTTTTTAATAAAAGGTGGTCTAAGAAAAGCTGTTCTGCCTTTATTTTCTGGAGAGGCTTTTGACACAGAGTAAGTGCAGTTTTGTCCTGTAAAATCTTTTTATATATGCTTTAAGAGCTCAAGCAAATTTAGTGATGGCATTTCCTGTCCTTTAAATGTTTTGATCTTGTTTTGCATAGCTATCTTCGTATTATGTATGACAGAACTGAAGACAAATAAAAGTGCTTCTGTAGTAAAGACATATTTGTAATACATGTAATAGCTGTCTTTCTAGTCCTCTTTGTAAAATACAGAAATATGACTCCTGCCCACTATGGTGTTCAGGTTGGTGTGTGTTTTTTTTTTTTCCCCTCAGAGAGCAGATTGTCTATAAAAGCTATACCTAAACTGTGCAATCCAAAATCATTACCCTTGTCTGTGCAGCTTGGATGTGTCTTTCCTCCTTGTCACTTTTTAGCTCTGAGATGCACAGTCCTATTCTTTCCCCTGCTGCATGTTCAAAGCAGAGAGGACAGGGATATGTTTGGGTTGGATTTAAGTGGTTTAGGTTTCTAGACCTTCAGTCAGGCCTGTGCCGCATACTTCGGAAGTAGCCAGAGAGACTTAACATTTTGTTTAAATCAGGTTTTAGACTTCTATCTTAAAAAAGAAAAAGTACATGCAATCTTGATATATCTGTTACCAGATTAGCTTTACTGCTGCAGTGTTTCTCCTTTATCCTATAAGTATCTGTGAAATTATGCCAACATAAATATTCACTGTATGTAACTATACTGATGTGCATACTTGCATACTTTTTGGACTGTGACCATACAAAATAAAGGGGATGATGTACTGTTTTAAATACGCTCAAGTCTGTGGCAGAATTAGGAAGGCACTCTACACTTTGTCTTCTACTTGTTTCTCCTACTGAAGCAGATGTTCTTGTTCCTTATAGTGTGGCTTCCTGTTGTGGTGCATGGCTCCAAGTCCTTCTAATGGAGCAGAGTTTCTGTATCATAGAATTATCCGGCCTTTTTTCCTGAAGCACGAAGCTCAGCTTGACAGTGTTGTTAAAGACCTGAAAGACAAGGCTGCAGAGACTGCAGATACCATCACTAAAGAAGGTGAGGAAAAGACCATTCACTAATAACGTCTAGTAGGAGGAATTTCCCTTGGCTGCTCATAATATTACAGTTAATAATCATATGGGGGGAAAAAAAATTTAAGACTATGAAAATTGTAATGGAGAAATTATATTTGAATGAAGATGCCAGGAAAAGAGGATTGCAGTGGATCTTACTTTCTAGGAGTGCAGTTACTCTAGAATGAGTGCAAGCTGTATGAGTGGAAGAAATGGCTATTTTGTGTGTCTTCCCACCACACATATCACTATAAACATTCTCTCTAGAGGCAGGTCCAAACGTCTTCACAAGATATCTTTCAGAAATACAGTTATTGTTTCAGTGTATTCTTGGATCTCCTAAAATATTGTCTCAAATACCTGGTCATATAGAAGGGCTGCCAGCTGTCTAGGAAGGAAGGCAAATCCTTTAACTCAAGTAAACAGCAAAATGTGAAATGAAATTTTCCCATCTATAAGTTTTTTGTAATTTTCTTTCCTCTGGAGATCAAAGAATTTTGAGCCCACTCTTAAAAGGAATTACTTCGGTTTTATTTGGTTAGAATAAATGGTATCAGAGCCTGTAAATTGCTTAATTTTTCCTTTTATTTTCTTGTATTCTGTAGTGGACTTTGTACTCTAAAATATCTGATGACAGCTTTATGAATAAGAGAAAGAAATGTATTAAGTAGCTAAAATAAAGGTTTATTTAAATTTCATTTGAAAGGAAACTTATTTGTAAGATATTTCAAAGCACCTTAAGTCTCCTTTCCCCAAAATAATGCATGCAGTTTCCTTTCCTTTTACCAGCTTAAGCAGTTTTCCTGTCAGAATCTAAATGATGTGCCTTTCCCAACTATGCTTGGAAATTTTTGGTGCATGACCTTTCCTGAATCATTATTATTAGACAATTATCTTAAATAATGTTCTCCCATGTTGCACTTGGGATTTTTCTGACCTTATTCCATCACTTACTCTTTTCTATTTTTACACATAAAGATTTACACATACATATATTTTTTAATAAATCATGCACATGCATATGTGCATACACACACACAGAGCATTATTCCAGTCCTATTTCAATAGTTTGGTAGTGTATTTCTTGCAGTAAACCTGTATATCCCAAACACTGTGACCAGCTCTAATTCATTGATATTACAAGTTGTAAGTCAGTCTGTGCTGTTTATTGTGCTTCTTGCATATGGTTTATTTTTTAAAATCTTTATATGATCAGTTTTATCACTGTCTCTGTGTGTGTGTGTGTGTATACAAAAGCTATGATTTTCTTTTGTGATGTTTCTTTTGTGACCTAAAAGGAAAATTACTTCTTTTATGCAGCTCAAGAACACCAAATAAGCCACTTCATTCTGTAGGCCTCTAAGATTAAACTTGTTTTTATTTTTCTGCAGCCAAGAAAGCAACAGTGAACTTACTGGGTGAAGAAAAGAAGAGCACTTAAACTATTAACTGGATAAAGTTTCCTTACTGCCTCCTTTATAAAGCTTGATGTTATTGGGAACTGTGGTATAGTTTTAATAATATTGCCTTGGAAACATTTTGATATATTAAAGGAATGTGTTGTAAGTTTGCTTACTACTTTGCTGTGTCTATAGAAAGTAAGCATTTTTATTTAAAAACAATGCAGTGGGTGGTGTCTGAAGCTTAATGAAAATACTCATTTTCATGCAGAAGAAATCTTCTAGTAATCTCTTTCTGCAGTAACATAAATAAAAAGTATATATCCCACAGGCTCTGCACTTTAGTTGTCTCTTTGTGTATATAATTACTCTTAACACTTTGATTGTTGTGTGTCTGGTAACATGAAGCTGTTGTAGAAGAAAAATACCAGTCTGAACAGATCTTGAATATACAGGGAATTAATTGTGAGAGATGGCATAATGATGTATTCCCTACCAGTAAGGTTGTAAATGATGAAATTATATATTCTATGCACCTGATGATAGAGATTATTCACTATTGCATGTTTAGTTGTAACACAATATTTGGTACAGTGTGTGTATTCTTAAATGGATAGATACTAAATATAGGAGAGTGACTTCATTCAGGTGATCAATCTTACATTATCATGAAGTAATCTGACAGAAATTGATGCATTAAATTGCACATGATTAGCACAAGATGATGAAAGTACAACTCCTTATCTCTTCTTGCTAAATAAAGTTGTCATCCAAAATTGTTAACAGAGCCTTTTAAGATCACACTCAAAAGCACAAACCACCTTTCACTAAGGAGGAATACCATTACACACACTTTTTCCTAAAGTCCTCTTGAAATATTAACTGCCTTGGGTGTCAGTCCCCAGAACTACATCATTAATGGGATGGACTACATCCTCCATGAGCTTTTTTTGCTCATAAAAATCTAGAATTCCTTCTGACTGTACTAAGAACAACTTTGCAAAAGCACTAAAATTTCCTAAATAGAGATGCTGTTGTTACATGATTATGTTCCTGACCAATCAGTAAGAATGCAACCAAAGTTGTTATGAGAATAAAGGCTTTTTTGCAATCAATGGAAAAGAATTTTTTTTTTTTTTGGTCTGTATCTGTATTTACTCTTTCACATCACAGTATTTTCAACAAATTCATCATGAATTACTGAAATCTCCCTGTTCTTATCTCCATGCTGACTTTTCCTTAAAGCCTGCAGTAATGCTGTGATAGTTCTTAACTCACAGAATATGCAAAAGGTAAGATTTTTGATACGATAAAAAGTGATTTCTGGTCCACAATCTTTAAATTCAAAAGATTTAACCCTAATATAGACTTCTGAAGACTTTTGATTTTCTGCAGCAAGTTGGTATATGAACATTCACTGTAAGTTTTCAGATGCAAGCACTGCAAAAGAATGAAGCACAGTGCAACTCCGCAGGTCAGTTTTAAATTTGAGATATGTGTATTATAAGAAGAGATGTAAAAGTGTCTTAAGACATTTTAAGCTTTAAGCTGGAAAATACACCCCTGATGGCTGTCAACTTGGGCAGGAAAATATGCGACCCACTGCGCATCATTTTCTGTAGGACAGCATGCAGTTTTTCATTTTAGGGACAAAAATGTAAAATACTGCACCTGATCATTTAATGACTGTTATGAGTGGATGTGCTGAAGAAGATAAACTTTCCAGTAATGTTGTAAATGTAAGAGAGTAAAAAGTTTGAAGTGACTAACCATTTAAATGGTTTAATTTCTTATCTTCCTCTGTCCTAAATCCACTGAGCTTTTCTGTAAGCCATACTAAATCCTAGTGCTGCGTTTTAAACTATATCAACTGTGTATATCACAGTCATGTGGCCAGTGTAATTTAGTTTCTCCTCTTGAAATAATAAGTAATAAAGATAGTTAATAGTCTGTTTGATTTAGGTACAATTAATAGTCTGATTTAGGTACAAAGTACTATGTAACTTCTCTAAAAGCTGCTGATAAATCTTAGACTTTCCAAGCCTAAAAAGGTCTGTAGTAGAGACAGAAATGTTTATTTCTCATACTACTCAACAGTTCTTCCACTGTTATTAATGGGGATAATATATTTCTAGGTAAGTGTTAAAACATTCCCTTACATCTCTCTTTAAACTGAACAGTTAGGGTTTAAATCAACTTCTGGATTTTACAACTTGGTATTTCTTGTCCAATAGCTAAATTCAGTGCTCTTTTGTCAGATTTCTACTTGAAATACCATCTGTTGTGAACAGAACTTGATCTCGTTGTCTTGATACAAGTGTTTTGCTGATTAAGGATACCAATTAAACTTGGACACCAGCATGAAAAGTGTAGGGGTATTTTACTGGTGATAACTAAACAATGTAACAGAGTAGTACAGAAAACATGCAGTAAGAAAAGGCAGAAGGCAGCATTTAAAGCAAACAAATAGGAAAATACTGGGCAATGCATCAAATCATTACTACACAAGAGAGAGGATAGTGATTAAGAAAGATCCCTCACCACTTGCACACGTTACCATCACCCAGACCCGCAGTGGCTGGGCAGCCCCGGTTACAGCGAGGGTTTGCAGAGCCTGTCCCGGCCAGTGCACCCACCTGTAGGTGAGGCTTCCAAAGTCGCTGCAAATGGGCCCAGCCTTATATACCAGAGATGGACAGGACAGAATAGCTGGCACCTTTGTTTTGAGCAGAAAATTTCTGAACTTCATTCTCTTGTTGGATTCCACCCTGGGGGGAAAAAACAGTGGCGTTTCTAACAAGGCCGAATACGTGGGTTCTCAGCCTTGAAGAAGGCTGAGAAAGAAAAGTTGGATACATTCTCTCAGCATTTCATCCTCACTGCTGATTATATTCTGTCTAAGCTGCATCTTTCACTAGTGAGTTTACACACTTTGTTAATGATTACAGACTAAGTTAGCAGCTTCAGCTCCGGGCCTGTTGTTCAGGCTTCAGTATTTCAAAGCTTTAGCACTTTTTACATCAGCATAAGTGGGTTGTTATAACGTAGCACAATATCTACTAGCACAATGGTTTTCAGTTATAAAATATACAGGATTCATCTATAGGTCAACTCTGGCTTGGGTTGTCCAAGCCTTAGCACTTAAGCAAGTAGGAATGTCTAATTTCTGTAGCTAGTTAACCTTTCCTGCAGGTAACTCCACCAGGCACCCCATAGCAGCACTGACTGTCAGTTTCCTCCCATCTCCCTTATACGAGCCACTACAGAATATTCGCTTCTCCCATCTCTTCAGGGCCTTTAGCGAAAGGCAGGTCATTTTATAGCTATTTTACCAGATCTGATCTATACCTAATCTGCAGCTGCATGTGTGCTGACTGAACACCTAACATATTAAATGCAGTTTGGTCAGAGCAAAGTGCCAACCAAAAAGGATGAACACTCATTCTCCTTGCTTTTCCTTGTCCCATTTGGGACACAGAAAGTTTCTTCACTGGACGATGCATTAACAAAGTCTTATCTCCTGATTTAACCAGTTAGCTTCATGACTTATAAGAACTTACTATCTATCTTAGAAATATCTATACTTTTAATCATGTCAAACAAAAGACTCAACAGACTCAAAAGTTATAAAGTGATAGATGAGCAAAGGGTTTGTATTAAGTCTTTTTTTTTCTTTTAAGGGAAAACAACCTCTTTGAAAGGTATTTTTTTTAGGTCAGTCTGTAACAGAAAGAAGCTAGATAACTGGTATCCAGTGATAGAACATGTGGGAATGGTTCAAGGCTGCACCAGGGGAGGCATTTCTTTACAGAGAGGGTGGTCAAATACTGGAACAGGCTTCCTAGAGAGGTGGTTGATGCCCCAAGCCTGTCAGTGTTTAAGAGGCATTTGGACAATGGTCTTAATAACATGGTTTAACTTTTGGTCAGCCCTGAAGTGGTCAGGCTGTTAGACTAGGTGATCACTGTAGGTCCCTTCCAACTGCAACATTCCATTCCATTTTAACATAGCTACATCTGCAGCTACAGAGAAGGGAACAAGGGACCCACATCATCCTTCACACTCTCAGTACAGCATGTAGAAACGTCTCAGCTGTATGTGCTGTCCCAAAAAGGAGTTCAGGCTAAAACACTGTTCAGCACACACAAGGAACAGTACATACATATACTTATGGTCACACATTATTGTCACTTCCCAAGTTAAAACACATTTCAAAACTTTTTGAAACTCACTTTCTTTACATTAAGAACTGAATAATGATGGCTGCATTTCTGCTACAGCAGCTACATGCCCTCTTCCATACACCTGAAAGAATAAAACATCCCACAGCAGTGCTCAATTGTCATTTTTAGTCATTCCTTTATCGATTGTCTGTGTCCCCAGATCTGCTTAATGCCCAGTGTCAGTGTTCTCATCCATTGCTGACACAGAAATCATTATAAGGATTCTGAGCTCACATGTCAATTTCCAATATTTAATCTTTGTCAAGGTACCCCAAAAATAGCACAGGAATATAACAAGTATATATACTTTTAAGTAGCTAGACTAGTATCTTCCAGAGACACACTAGCTCAGTATCCACATTCCTCATCTCTTAGATGCAGAGTAAACTCCTACTCAGCAATGCATGTCTTTACTAGTATTGCCACATACAGGAAAGCACAGACCAGTGTCTTTTTAGTAACTACACTGCGTAAACAAATTCTCACAGAAAACTGTATAAATAAGAGAGATGAAATAAAGACATCCATTATCACTCATTTTTTTTATTTAAAAGATTTTATTTTATTGATAACATTGAGTCCAACAGTTTCAGTATTTCATTATTTTTACAGCAGCCTTATCTCCATTGCCAGTCTCACAATGGCCTCTAACCATCTTCCCTGTTCCCAGGAACTGAGGGTGTAAAGAGGAGAGAGAAAAGGTGCTACAGAAGGGGAAAGACCTGCAGAAGAACCTGACTTACTATCTTGATCCACTTGATTTTAATCCTCTAAGGAACCCAGTTTATTAAAAAAATGGGAAATACAGAAATGAAAGTCTGGTTTGTAAGCTCATAGGAACAGGGGAGTTGTGTTTACCTTTGTGATACCTGATTTAAGAATAAATGGTGCTCACAGTGTTTTAAAGCCAGACAAATCAAAAAAAGCAAAAACATGAGCTCTAAAATTAGAGATGGGGGATAAGCAGCCAGGGACTGGGAGAATGAGACTTCAACTCCCTGTCGGTAGTAATAATGTGATTTCCTATCAGTATCCTGTCGATAGTAATCATGTGATTTCCTATGAGTATACAATTTCCTTTAAAAAGTCAGCTTTACACAAAATGCCCATGGAGCTTTCTTTAATTAAATCACAGTTTTATATATTTGAGCTCAATGGAACACTCTGCAGTAATCTCAAGTCTTTTTTGTGTAATATCCTTACACTTTAAAATAGCTTTCCTATGTCAGATACTTTGGAAGATTTTTATAAGCAGTGCCACAAAGATTATTTCTCAATATACATACCATAGCACAGGCAAATTAAGATACTTAATTTCTAGTCACTGTAAACATATATCCCATGAGAATTAACCTCCACATTTTTTAGCAGTCTGTAGTCCGAAGCACCGATTTACAATACTTAGGCATAACATGATCATGACTTGAGTCATTGCCCTTCACTAACATCATGGAGCTAATTTTCACAGAGCTCTCATGTTAAACAGTTTCAGAAAAGTTACTCAGTACTCAGGAAAAGCCAGGAGTAACTTAAGCCCCATAATCTGTGGACAGTTACAGTCTTTTATCTCATACATGTACTTTCCATTCTTGCTTGTGTAACTCACTTGGTGTTTTCCCCCATGTTGCAACTAACCTGATGTAACTTCCCTAACTCTATAGAGTGGACGTAACTAACAACCTCTGATCATGTCTGTGGGTGTGTATGCCTGGTCATGAATCTTCTGCATCACTGACAATGTGAAAGTATCATCAGCATTCCGGTTAGAAGATTAATGACGTCTAAATTAATGACACACTTGTGTTAGAAGACTAATGGTGTCTAGATTAACAATGGCTAAAAGCAAAAGAATTTGTGCTTGTTAGGGAAGAAACATATAAGAAGGGATTCCTTAAAATGACAAAACAGAAACTTATCTACCAGCTGCGCATGGTTAGTAGCCCTTATTGAAAGTGCTGAGAGGAACTAGTTTTTGCAATGAGCATGCACTAGAGCAACACACAGATTTGCTGTTATTTTTAGAATTTACAAGAATATATAAGGACATTTTTCTAATAAATTTCGGAGCTTGACTGTTAACCATATTGGTGTGTGTCTTGTCTCACATCCTCACCCTGCAAAAAGGGTTTCCTGCTACACACATCCAGTTGTTTTCTGTAACAAAACAACCTTTTCAGATAGCACCTGCTCCCACTGTTCCTACCCAATGGCATTCCATTAACTCACAGATGCCATCTAACTAACTTCTCAACATTTGGTTGTGTTTTCAAGGTTAGAAACACCAAAGGTAGCTTGTGTAAACATATCAGCAGAAAAAAAAAAGGAAGACATTTGTATACAACCATGGTCAATTACAGACAATTACAGGTCAATTAGAGCATAAGATTCCTATGATATGGCTACTATCACGCTGGTGCAGGGCTTGGCCTGAGGAACTTTGTGATGGCAGCTTTTGTATTTAGTACAACTCCAGTGAGGATAAAAACACATCCTCCCTCTTCGTTAAACAATGCAACACAAGAACCACACTTACAAAGCAGTACAGACAGGAAATACAATTGAGTTTGAACTATTCACATGTCTACACAGTTGCACTATCAGTATCTACCAGCATTCACTTCAAGTGGCACTGGTAATCCATCTGATTGAAAAAGATGCATTTGAGTGGAACAAGAAATATACTGTAAGAAAACTCAAACTACAAGCACAAGTAATTTGAGCAGGGACATAGTCTAGATTATCAAGTTGGATTACTTTAGAACAGTTTTTAAATGTCTAGATATATTTTGAATGCTGTTTATCTTTAAAATGGGAAAAAGGTGATGCCATAGAATAGCATACCTGATAGACAAATATTAAAAGAGAATATCAGAACATGAAAAATTTATCAAAGTCATCTGCTAACTTGCTTCCAGTAATCAACTGGAAGTCAAGCATTCAATTGACTTTGTTCTCATAAAGTAAGTATTAGAAAATTCATGCAGAACTTTTGATTTTCAAAACAAAACAGGTATTGCTGCTTCTTTTTCAATCTCCTTATACTAAACTATCCCTCATTTAATTTGCACAGTACATTTCTTAATTACTTCAAAGGAGCCTTCCCACTGGACAGCTCTTTTGACCAACTCATCTTCCTCAAATAACTTTCTGTCCATGTCTGTGGACTACATAAAAAATATATATTGTTACCAGATATTGCAAGCCTCACACATCTGAAATAGTATTTGACAGGTAGAAAATAAAGCTACGTTTCCTAAACTCTCAAACAACTACCCAAAATAGGATAATATCGTATTGCATATTATACAAGACACAAAAGGGAGCTTTTTTTTTTTTTCCCACATAATCTTAAAACTTTACCTTATTATCCATACAGTCATATCACTGACTTCTTTACAACAGACTGTGCAGGAAAAATTAAACACTTTTGGAAAAAGTATCCTATAAAATTATATTTTCAAAAATTAACATGTCACCTTCATTAGTACACTTGACAATTATGAAAAATTATTAGCAAGGGAAGTTCTCAGAGCAATAACTTCACAGATTTACATTTTCCTATAACTGACATGCTCTAGAATTGAGACAATCACTTCACGAGCATAGATAAATGGTTTACTAAGGCAACCAGTTTTCAGATAGCTAGTCTGCATAAGAATATTTATTTAGCAAAAGCTGCTTAGTTCTTCTGGAAAGAACAATTTCTCCACCCACCCACCCCATTTGCCTATATTATTCCACTTGTACAAGTGGATGCTAGCTTCAACTTGCAGACTGCGTGTGAAGACAAATTTAATGTTACACATATGCGAGGCAGCTACATGCATTCCAGTTCTGGAAAAGCAGGCAGTTCTATTCAGCTTTACTTGGTTATTTCTTGCTTCTATCTTTCACTTCAAAGTTGCAGCAAATAATGTGTCCATCCGCATTTTTCCTATGTACAACTATTTGATGTAATGATTATTCCAGACGTGAAGTCATTTCTTTTTCTTTCCTTTACCTTTCTTGCTCCCTTCTCCTTGCTGAAGGCTTTGCTCACTACCTCCCATCTTTTGGGTCCTTGTTTTCAGTTTGGGAATGGTTTCTGCAGCATACAGCATCACCGATTTACCTAAAAAAACAAGGAGAGATCAATGCATGCCTACAATGTTAAGAACATCTGCATCACTTTCAAAGTTAGAAACTTCAGCCCTACTTTAGACTTCTGTTAAAACTAGATATAAAGCCTAGGAGTTCTGCTTTCCTCTGTAGCTAGATGTTTGTAAAAAACTCTTCAACATTTTTTTTTAAATTTTAAAAAAGTGCAAGACAGATAAATGTCAGACTGGAACAAGCACTTAACATGATAAATCTCCAGAGTATCTACATCCTTTCTGTTACTCCTTCCTTTCACCTCTTAACGGCCTAAAATACCTGGCACAGAATGACCAGGCAAAAGCTACAAGCATTTTTAGAAAGGCACCACTGTCTTCCAGCAGGAATATGGTTTTAAATCATCTTCTTACCAACAGTACTCTGATATTACTCTAGATTCAATATTCTTCTTACTCCTTCCCTAAGATATATACTTGAGATATGTATTTACTTCCCTTTTACACAATTTCCAGAAAATACAGAAGACTAAATTACTTGTCATTCAGAATGAACTATTCCTGTTAGAGGGCGCTGCTCCATTGTTAATTTATAAAAATGGCCAGCAGAAAGCTCAGTTGAATTCAGGATTGTATTTTATCGATTTGTCATTCATACTGATGCCTATCTGATATATATATAACCTAAGAAACAGACTGAAATTTAGCCATTTCACTACCAAATCCTTTAACTGTTAACAATAAGCCAAAACTCCCTAGCTGCTTTATTAAACATAGCAACCAAACAACACTCCCCACAATCCCACACAACTGCTGAAGAAACAACATGATCAAAGAAAATAGCAGTTCACAAACTCCACTCAGTGCTCACACACCCAACTTGATTTGGTTGACTTATACAGACAGAGAGTTTTGATGTAAAGTTTTATAATTTATAACAGTAAAACTAATTAAGCAAGCTGGTAATATAAAATAAACAAAGTCTTTGTTTTCTTAACAGATGAAGTACCTAACCCAGGTACTCTACTCACGTGTTGGAAACTGAGGTAAACATGGATTACCATCATCTTGTTTGAGCTGGATTCGTACTCTACCTCTGTACTGCACATCTCTGTTCCATTCTCTAGGATACATCTTATTTTTCTACCATACAAAAAGGAGAAACTTGTATTATAAGTACTGCAATATTTTTTTGCAGACTTCATCAGGCAATTGATCTAGCATGATCAATTGCCTGACAAAGACATAGCATGAACACATGTAAACAATATATAACCATAGCTCTCCAACAGTGTCATCTACCATTTAGCTATTGCAGTAGTAGCCAAAGCTACAGTGTAACTTTTTCAGAAGTACTGCTGCAACCATTTACTGATACTGAACAAATAAGCAAGTAACCTACTACAGGGACTGTTTTACTTCCCCACCAGTCTGGACCCCAGTGACACATGTTTTTGTTTCATCTCCACAGCCTTCTGGACAATCTAGAAAAGGTAAGTCATAGGTCACAGTCTGAGGCCCACTCCTTTTGGATAGTCATAGGCTTCATTTTTGTTAAAATGGTACAGGTTTCTTCCTGGTACCAGCTATTTCACAGGCTTGTGTGCACTAACAGGAATATAACCAACTTCTGAAAAGCAACGTGATTTTGTACTGGGTTTTTAATACCAGTCACACTCTTAAATGAGGACCTAAATTCTTCTTAGAAAATTCAACAGTACTTTAAGTTAATAATTACTTAAGAAGGCAAACCATGTAAAGATACCTTTCTAGAAACCCAGATTTATTCCCCAAGAAAAAAGTAACCAACTGCGTCTCTTTGAAAAGCAACCAGGTATTGCAGTAAAAAATTAACATTCTTTGGCTAAAATGGAACTCCAAAGGACTGAAGATTTCAAGCATCAGAATCCTATTCCTACAGGACACTCATTCCAAAAAGTAATCACCTTTCATTAAAAATATGTCTTTTTAAATGCTTGATTTGCACAGTTGTACCTTGCAAAATTAGCTTTTATTCTGGCATGCTTTTAAGCATCAGGATAGTCTTCTCGGGACAGTTAAATAGAAGTAATCTTTTTATAAGCTTAAAAGCAGCATTATCCCAGAGATCTGATTTATTCCTGCCTTGCATCGTTTTCCAACATTCCATCATTATGATCAGTTATTACTCCAACCAAGCAAGCACCTTGACTGATAACAAAAACTTCTCAATTGTAATTTATCCTGCCAGTAAAAAAGATACAATGAAAGAACACACATATGAAGTTTGTGGGGGTTTTTTATATTACCTCTAATAGCACGTTGAATCCAACTGCTGCACATACATCTTGGATTTCCACAGAGGTGGGATTTTCAACAGCCTATAAAACAATGTGTTACTGTTAAGTAATTTTCCATGATGAACTACCTATACAGCAACAGTTAGCAGTTTCCCAGCCTATATATACACTCTATAACTAGAAAAAACAGATGGGGAAAGAGAAGGTACTTCAACTAGACAAATCTACTGTAGAAGTCACCTGTGAATACACCTATGGTATAGAAAATATTATAAAAAAAGGGGAGAAGACACCAGCATAACAGAAAACAGATAAGACAGAATGAATTAGGACAGGAGACCAAGTAGAAAAATTCCTTAGGAAAAGTAATTGAAGTTATATAACATTTGTCATATTTACAAAAAAACCCCAAAAGCCATGAATCAGCAACCGCAAACTTATAGCAAGGACTGAAGGAGAAAAGAAGGCAGATTCCTCCAACAGACAGACCTTTGATTGGCCTCTTGCATGCTCAAGAAATATTTTATTTTTAACTATTACCAGAAAAAAACCCTCAACCCAAAGCAGTGAGAAAATCCCTTTATATTCCCATCACTGCTTATTAAAAATATTAATGTGAGATGATCAAAAACTATTTCTGGACAGACTAAAAGCAACAATTACCAAGTCTGTGTCACATGAATTGTAAGTTGTATCTTTGACAGCAGCAAAGGGGACAGGGTACAGAATATAGTCATGTACAGTCAGTCACCTAAAAAAAAAATCATTAGCTAGCTATTCTTTTCTACATTGCTTTAAAATTTGGCAAACTACTTGAGACTGAGTGCATTAAGTTTCTTACTACTTCATCTGCTTACATGAAAGTAGACACTTAAACCCAGTTCCCTTCTACCAAATTCACTATGTTATCTTCAAATTGAGCTATTGCCATGGAGGATAGGAAAGATCAACAGCTTTAAAATTTATTTTCCAACTCTACACACTACTGTATAGCAAAACAAAACATCATATTTCTCTGCCACCCACAAAATTACTTTGTCTATAGGTATCCTCCTTCCTTCTGCTATTGTCTTCTTGTTATTCAAATATGCTGGATAAATGCAGATGAATCTAAAAAGAGAAAATAGCGAGTTTAAGTAGTATGAACTCTGTAACTGTTTATGCAGCATCTCCCGGATAAAACAAAACAAATCTCACAGCTACAACATAAGAGTTCCCACAGCAGTTTAGAACAACCATTTATTTTCCCAAGACTATAGTAAGATGTTGCAAAACCTCATTTTGAGTTATCCAGGACACTGCACAACGATTTGGCTCAAACGTTCCTTGCATCACACCACCTTCTGGGGCACAGTGTGTACAAAGGATAGTGCTATCTTGAGGTAAAAAAGAAGACTGAAAGAGAATGTTTTGACCCATTTCTTAAACCCCTGAGATCTAGAATAAAACATACACATTTCCCTGAAGATAAAGATTTCTTTAAAAGGTTGTAGCACACTAAGTTCTTAATACTAAGTTCTTAATAGAAGCAAGCAGCAGTGTTTTCTTCACTGTGGATTTGCTTTCCTCCCC